CTTTTTGTAGTTTTTCTATACTATTGAGCCACATCATCCGATGACCGAAATAAATTTCATATACCTTCACTATCCCAGGGCAAGTATAACAAAGCGCAAATTACCCTTCAGAAGTGGATACCGCTCGTTAAAGCCTTCCTCAAGAATTAGAACTATTTATAGAATAAAGACATAACCACAACATACCGAATCAACGAAAACTTTAAAACAAGATCATTCCACAACTACCAACTAACTCATGTACCAACTTTCTACCATAAGCTCGAATTATTAAGCTACCTGATGAACGGCCCTTGAGAAAGGTCGAAACTATAGTCGTAGCTATCTCTCTAGAACTCACACCCACACCCTCACCCACCCCACACCCTCTCATTTGATCATGAAGCATTTTGCCAGTTGTAAATATTTTGATTTTCAATTAAGTGTTTTTAATCGATTAAAATGCGTATACTATGCTTTGGCTTGATTCCAAATTGCAGTACCATTTGCCTTTTATTAGCATTTGACAAGCCAACATTCAATCTGATAAATGGTTTTGTTCTATCAGTTCAAAAAATTCATTACTAATTCAACTCCGTACTTTAATTGCCGAACTTCTTATTGTACTACAAAATCGTTGAATTTGAATTCAATCGATTTATTTTTATATCATTTACTAGACAAATCGTGAGACTAAAACAGTCGATCCATCAAACATCATTCTTGGCACAATTCCAAAATACGATTTCTTGATTTTCCGCTGAATTGTATGAAGATTTGGTTCGGTGAATGGTCTCAACATATCGCTTAGCATGTGGCCAATTGCCCGAAAATATTAAATACACTATCTGTGTATGCGTATCTGGCAAGTTCTCATTTTCTTAGTGATCCGTAATGTTCCATTCAATTTTTCTTGTTTTGTCCATCTATCTTTTCTTGTTTCCCAGTTTTTTCTTTTTTCCTTTGTACTCATATATGATTTTTCGATTTTGTGCTTATCTATGCAGAGCCCTGATGAGTGTTTAAATTTTAATAAATAGCACGAAACGCGTCGGCGAAATTAAACTCTCTGCATTTCTCTTATTAATTACTTTTCAAAAGCACATCAATTAAACTTACATATCTGTTGATACTTGATCGATTGCTGAAAAGCAAAAGTTGAGAGTAGCAAATTGGCTTGTATCCAAAAGAATATAAGTTAATTTGTTTTTCGATTAATAATTCAAATTTAGTATTTGGATCCTTGGAATATCTACTTCGGATAATAAAGAATTTAGTTTTGGAGTTAATATTGGAAGTCTTTTGACTTTTCAATTTGATTCTGAATTAATTATCTTTGTTATTTATGCAGATTTAAACCACCTGATGAGACGGTGAGGCTTTTCAGCCAATTTCGTCGAAACCGGTCGTGGTATTCTAATAATTCCTTTTAAGCTGGATTTAAGTTTTTTAACTTGAATTTGATTGAAATTAGAGATTTTTAGCTTTTTTAAGCTGAAAATGTTTGATTTTAGTCATTTTTAAGTTCTAAGCCATTTGATAACGAACTTTAGTAGGTTCGAAACCGGTCATGGCATTTTATCACACCCTCACACTCTCGAATATAAAAATCAGAGTTTGAAGACTAGTTTTAGAACAGAGAAACTCAGTGAAAAAAGTTTTTTTTGTAAAAAACCACTTTGTGAAATGCATGACTTGATATCAGTTCTCTTGTTGATCACGAAAAAATTGTGTACTCTATTAACGCACCCCATTGTACATAATACTGTGCCCCACATGTACCCCATTCAAGAATTTTTTTACCTCATTTTAGGTCTGACTAGATGGCAACTCTGTCATGTCCTATACTATGAGAGTAGTCATGGCTTCTTTAACACTGGAACGTGGAGATGCTTTGGGTTGTCTAGTTTTAAACTATGATTGCATTGTTGAGTTCAGGATGTAGTCCCATTAACTGTCGTGAGATTTTCACGGAAGTAGCGTTATAGAAATATGTGACTTGGGTTTGCAATACTTGGCTGCCCGGACTGATCTTTTGTTGTGTATTTTAAAATCTTGATAGACATTCAGTGTACTCTGTTGCTTAAGTCTGATACGCTTTTTAGAGTACACATAACTTTCGGATAAAATCCGAAGTTTTCGCATTGATTTCATTTTTCAACTGATCTTTCTATAATTTTTTGTTATTTCTCTGAAGAAAAGAATTCATTTTATTTTTAACCAATACGTTTGTATTACATGATGACTCTGTATACCGAAACGTTCCTCATATATCATCATTTCAAACACAAATGAAAAAAATTAGCAAAGTAAGAACATTACAATACTCCAACGACATTGCCACAACTAATATAGAAAAATCGCGTCTATTTGCAGTATTTAGTCAGAAAATCGTTTTTGTATTTCTTGAATATTTCTACCAAAATCAATGTAGGGAGTTTTTATGAGGAAAAACTATTTTCATTTCGCATATGGAATTAGTCTTCGATTGTGCAACATCGTGAAATTAAATGAATATTTTCTTCTCAAATGCAAAAAAAAAGAATATTACCTGTCGATCATGTTAATGTATAAAGAAAATTAAGCAGTGTAATTAAAATATTTTCATTAGTACAACATGTGTACATAACATGGTTGTTGTTGTTATTAATAAGTCTATATTTCAAACTTGGATCTGGAGCGATCTCCGTATGTAATCACGAATGCACTTCTAGTTCGTTTAAATCAGGCGAGTTTTTTTCACCAAATTAGCTCGNCAAAAAACGTTTTTGGTTCCAACCGCAAATGGCTGCACTATTTCGTTGATTCGAATATAAGATAATCTATTAAATGTGCATTTTGTAGAGAATCTTTTTCTCTATCGAACTGTATAGGTTATATCATAATAGAACACTTTCTCTTCGACTAATGCAGCAAAATGATCGGGCGAATTTCGCTTCTGCACAGCTCGCTCAAAACTAACCCTTTGGTTTCTTTTTGACACTGGTCGAAAAGAAAGTTTTATGATATCGTTGAAAGCGTACAGCTTCCCATGTAGCCGTTTTCGCGAAATAATGCACATTATAATGCATTATCTTACAATGGGGAAATAATGCTTCAATTACATGATAATGCAACACTTTTTAATGCATTTCAATTAATTAAATATCAATCATGAATTGTAATGCGTTAATAAGTAACACATTACAATGAATTAAAACGAGTAATGCATTTCAGTACATGATACGATTTTCGTTGTCTTCAGCAGCATTTTCTACCAAAATAATGCCTCACAACGCATTAAAGTCGGTAATGCATGATAATTTCATGTATCGCTTATCAATCGTTCTCTTGTATAATGCATTAATCTTTTCATTTATTACCATCATTCCATTCCAACTGATTCCACCTTGTAGTTCATTTGATAAAAGATCTATTCATAAAAATATATGATATTGATCAGATCTCAGGTACAAAAATCATATAAAAATTGCGTTCAGTAGAATTGAGTACGATCATTCCAGTTTTGAAAATATTTTTTTCTAAGTTATTTGACTATATGAATGCTAAGCCATTGGAAGAGATTGCCATCTAACGGAATTAAATATGAAGTGCGGACTAAGATATAGTTGGTTACATTAATAGAAACGCATAGTGTATTGAATATCGTGCATATATGTATTGATTTTCTTATTCATTCTCACGTGATTTACTGACTATTTATCATTATGTCTACCGATGTATAAATTGTAATGTACTTCAAGTTTACTTGCACTTGATTATATAGCTAAAATACAAAATAGAATGATAAAGAATTACATAAGTTACTAATATATTTACCTGATTATTTGTAGATATCTGTCGCACGCGACGAATGGCACCAAAGAAAAGGAAACAAGCTTCATCTAATCAAGGAGATACATTTGTTGTTTTACGTGATAGCAAAACTTCAACTTTACATTTGATTCCAACGAATCAGTTATCATATTCAAAAAGAGAGAACTTAAAGATTAGTACAGCGGCTACTTTCAATGGTGCTGGTGATGTATCTCGTGGGTTCAAGGGAATAATTCTTGCGAAAGGTAAATGAGTCGAAAGAATAAATATTGCATAAATTTTTCGTACATTAAAGGCACAAGAGATCAATGTCAACAGAGTTTGTCGATAATAGAAAAGACAAACTCAAAAGATGGACAGATTTCAAATGAAGTAAAATCCGATTCATCACATACTTTACATATCGATGAACGTACTGAATCAAGTGATAGCGATGATCATGAAAATGCCGAAAACCAGCCCGATATCGAAAATAAAACTGGACCTGATTTACCTATTTCTGAAGCACTTGCTACATCAGTTCAAAAGAAATCGAACACTGCAGATATGTCATCTTCAACTTTTGTTAATACTGACACTTCTTCAGCTACGACAGCGAATTTAAGTTCATCTAGTGACGCTGGTGAGTACATTTTTACTGAGTCATTTACTCATCGTAATGTGTCAGCTCAATTGTTTATGTTTTATTTCTCCGTTTAGCATTAATAGATTTAACGAATGGTGCTGGTATGGGAAGTAAAAGGAACGAAGCTTCAATGGAATCAAAAATTGTCACTAACAAGAAAATAAAACTTTCTGGAACATTTACTCAGGCTGCGTGTGAAAAACTAGCACGTGAAAACGTACAGTTGAAAAAAGAATTAGACATGTACAAGGAAAACTGGATGCGTGAGTTTACCTCTTTTATCAAACTGTGTAAATGACTTCTTTTTTAGCACGACCAACTGGGGCAGCTAAGAATTATATCGTCGATGTTGGAAGAGTTTTATCCGGCGAATTAAATAATAACGAAGAAGATAAAGGTGAAAAATTAGAAAACATATGCACGACTTTAGGATTGAACGAAAAAGAATTGAAATCTTGTGAGCACAAGACTGATATTACTAAGACTTGCCGACAGATCGTTAAAAAACTCTATTCAGAACCTAAAGAACGTGCTAAACTCAGCGTTGTAAAAATGGATCTCCAGGTGTTACAAGCAATTCATAGTAAAGATTCTGATTATAATTTAACAGTATACTAGGTTTTAAAATGTTGTAGGTTATGCGAAACTCGCTCATCCAGCGATGTCAAACATTCAAAATTGTATGCTGAATAACGCTATCGGAAATGTCTTTGCAACTGATAAACGAAAATACGAAAACGACGAAACAAATGTATCTGAAGAAGAGGAAACAGAAGATGATGACGTAACTAATTAACGTTTATAATAAAACATATGTACTCACCTTCAATAATATATTAATGTTGGAATGTTTGGCATCTTTCCTCATAGAGATTTTTTGTCTCATTGTATTGCGTTTGAATTGAAATGTTGAGTCATGTATGATTTTAAATACGTTTTTTTAATTAAAATAAAGCTAAAATAAAAGAAAAAGAGTTTATCATAATTTTAACACTGTATTTTCAGGACCTATGTCTAAAACAAACCGCTCGACTAATTGGCGCCGTAACGAAACAAAAAAAATCAGAAATGATCTCGGTATAAACTATCATATCATAATCAGTTTTTCTCTAACTTTTTATTCAATTACCAGCTTTCGCATTCAGTCAAATCGTTACACGTGAAGATGCCAGTGATGTTGAATATGCGGTAAATCAAATCCCTCATTCAAATACTGATCAGAATACTGATAGTGGTATACTTGTCGTTTGTGATCAAGAAATGAAATCACCTACTGATTCTAATTCGGAAGAAACAGAACAAAAGAAGATGCACTCATTACCGTAAGCTCTTGTGAAAGGGATTAATATTGTCAGAACTATATAATATGATAATTGCTGTTTCCTTAGATTGAAATTTGAACCTATTGTAATTAACGATGAAAATCTAGGTGTAAATATAGATTCAGTTCAAATTGCAGTAGCATTAATAACTTTAAAGTCGAGACATCGTTTATCTAACAATTGTGTTGAAGATATTCTCGCTCTTCTTCGCGTACTTGGTGTTGATGTTCCATCAAGTTATAAAGCGTTATGTACTATTCTACGGAAACGGTCGAGCACTCATCTGAATCCATCAAAATACACAATATGTCCTCATTGTGAAGATTTATCATCTGCCATGCATGAGTGTACAAACTGCGGAGCGAAATATTGGCCAATTTCGTCAGCGAATATTCCATTGTTTTATACGTATAGTATTTCTCAACAACTGAGAGCGATTATTGCTACATCTCCTGATTTACTACTAAGTAAAAGTACATCCACTAGCAAAGGATCTATGAGAGATATTACTGATGGTTGTGTTTATAAAAAACTGAAAGAAAATCAATCTGGTCTATTTATAACTCTTACTATGAATATTGACGGCGTGCAACCAAACAAAGGATCTGATAAAAGTCTCTGGCCAATCTTACTCGTTATCAACGAAATAAAGCGAAAAAAACGATTTTCTCTTGAGAACTTAGTAATTGCAGGAATGTGGCCAGGACCATCAAAACCATCACGTACTCAATTATCATTATTTTTCAAGAATATTGTTACAGAGTTACAAGAACTAGAGCAAGGTGATCTGTTTCGGCTTTATTCATCCGATTATAACGATCACTCAGAGATTATAAAGATTTTCTTAATAGGTGCTTGTGTGGACAAGCCCGCTCAATCTATTGTACAATGTCTAGCTGAACCTACGGCGTATTTTGGTTGTGGGCATTGTGAACTTGAAGGTAAGCTACTCGTAATAACAGTTAACGTATTAATCTCATCTTTTGTATTGCATACTTTTTTAGGTGTTAGTGTACCAACAAAAAAAAATGGTTCAGTTGTAAGTTTCGCAATTTATGAAAGTGATCTACCAGCAAATGAACGTACAAATGAAAGACACGATTTCCTTCTTCAACAAGTTCATGAAAATGAAACTGAGCTCGCTGCTAGTAGTTATCGCGGTCGACGTGGTTTAATTGAAAAACATAAAACTACATAAAAAGGTCTGAAAGGACCATGTATACTTCGATCCTTGTCCAGTTTTGATGTCGGGATGTCCTTTCTTGTGGATAGCTTGCATAATATCTATTTAGGGCTCTTTGTAAGTGAATTATTATCGTCTTTTTATCGTGGTATATAAACAACTGTTCTATCATAGAAACGAATGCTATCATTATGGCTTAGTGATGAACACAAGAACGAACCGTGGTCTGTATGGTCACAAAGAAACGAGCTGTCGATTCGATTAAATCGACTTCGTTTTCCATGCACAACTACACGTCAACCGCGAACTCTTCACAAATTTGCGAAGTTTAAAGGCAGCGAAATTCGACTTGTTTTACTTTTTGGCTATGCTATCTTTGAAAATATTCTTAAATCGAAATATTATTTGCATTTACTTTTACTTGTTCTCATAGTTCATTATGCAAATTTACTAGCACAAAAATGTTGTTAAAATTATTATAATATGCATCTTTTATCTTACAGGCAGAATCACGATGCTTAACTAGCGGTATGATCGAGATCGTCGAAAATTTATGTCGCTCATTTCTTTTTGAGTTTCCAAAACTATACACCAATCGACACAACGTTCAGGTACAATTTCTAACTCACGGAATATTTAACACAGAATTGACCTGTTTCTTTTATAATCAAGTCTTATTCTGAGATTTTATTGAAAGACAATATATTTGATTTCAAATGACTTCTCACCTATTAATTAATTAGATATCTTACTCAATTAAAGAAATAGTTGTATTAAACTTTCTCTCTATCTTATACTAGGTTGTTCACTCTATCTTACATATTTCGAATACGTTACGTCGTTTTGGACCTTTATCAACATATTCAACATTTAATTTTGAGAATCAGTTAGGTGAGTTTATATAGATGATTTCTTACTATATTGTATATTCAAACAGTACTTACCTTTAAGGTTTGTTAACTCGATCATGTTGAAGCACACGACGACATGCAATCGAGATAATGAACAATTTAATGCATTTACGCGACGCATGTTTTGAGCTAAAAGTTGGTCAAATGCATTCTGGTTTACACAAATTAGCTTCAAAATGGTTACATATATCAGATTCCTATGTTGCATCATCTAATGATTGCGTTAAACTTTTACATCCGCTCGAAATTACTGACAATGTATTAAGTACTATTTTTATGGGTGGTATTGATTTTTACTCTACAGTATTTATACATGGAATAAGATTTACAAGTGCTGATTATGCACAAGGAAAAGTCGGCGATGATTCCTCAATTATTTTTAAAACTGGTTTACAAGAAAACTTTGGTCGAATCCGTCGGATTTTTACAGTAAATGATACTGGTCCTATATTTTATGTTGATGTATTTAAAAAAAACTAGTGATTTTGAATGTACGACAAACGGAATTACCTATTGTTATTCTCAAATTCAAACTGGATTCTTAAATGAAGCAACAAATGGTATATTTATTAGCGCAAGTGATATTCAAGAGAAATGTGTATTCTACGAGCGTAATAACAAACTGTGCACATTCTATAGATTTCCTAACCTTGAAGAATGCTCTTAAAAGAGCTTCAATACAAAGCTCGTTTTTTATTTTAGATTTAAAAAAGTATATTTCAGCGATTAAATCAAGATGACTTTATTTAATTAAGCGATGAAACTTAATTTCAGCAAAAGAACAAGTACTCGAAGTTTCTTCCAATGAATATCATAATCGATTGATTGCTAATCAACTACCTGCCTAATAAATTCTACTTTTCTGAGTCAATTTGTAGAAACATTACCTTCTCCCACAAGATTTTTATGATTGATTATTTTATCGTAAACAAATTGTCAGTCACTGATAATCAACCATTATATACCACTACGGATATCAGGTGGAATAATGATCTGAAATGCATTAAGAGTTTTGTCAATGTGTTTGTCTTGTAAAAATAATTTTGGGTAATGTTTGTTGATGCATTGAGAAAACGTACATGCTTCGAAATTTGCGAATTTTAAAAATAATACTCTATAATGCAGTGCTACTTAATGCATTTCATACGTGTTTCATACATTACTTTCACGAATGCGTTGAAATACATTGATGTTATCATACTAACGTTATCCATCTGCAAATCATTTCACATAAGACATGATAATGCATTGAAAAGTAACGAATTATGTGTTTCTTTCACATTAAAGCATATAAATGTCCTGTAGTGCATTATTTTTCAATGAATTACAACACATGAAGAGCTTTTTTTAAAATGCATTGAACTAAATTAAAATTTTGACAAGCAGTTAAGTAAGGAACATTTATTTTGAATAATACATTTTAATGCATTGAGATACAATGCATTATGCAGTATTTCATAGGTTAAGTGGAATAATGCATTGACATACATTGAATTCTGTATGGTAAAGACGATCAAAGTCGCAAAAAACAATAATGCATTGAATTGTGTTTGAAAAATAATCCATTAATTCAGTTTTCAACATTTTGTTCCATTAATGCTATGTAATGAATTGATTTGCTGTGAGTTATAAGACATTTTACTTCATTAGTTAGAATAATGTATTGAAGTGCATTACAATCGCGCTGTTGATTCGGGTTTGAATTAAAGCAGATAAATAACAAAATGCAATGCATTAGATTTCAATTGATTTTATAGCATTTTGCACATTATTACAAATCATGCGTTGAAATTCAATGAATTATTCAAGTTGCATGCACTTTTTAAAAATAATACTGTACAATGCATTAGAAAACAATGGATTATTTAAAATTAAGACACTACTCTCAAAAATCAAACGATAAGATATGAAAAATAATGCATTATAATTTATTATTTTCTGTTTTTATAGAAAATAATGGAAATCAATGCGCTACTTTTGCATTATTTGTCCATTATCGGCTACATGGGTTGGAAGAGGAAACAGTTCTCTATAAAATACACATTTAGCAGATTATCTAACATTCTAAACAATAAAATGGTGCAGAAATCTTCGGTCGCGCTGCCGCACCATACCTTACACGTGTTCTCCCTTTCCTAATAAAATGAAGAGTTAAGTGTAGAAAGATGAGTGTTCATGTAAATTTCAAATCCAAAGGTGTCAAAATGTTTCTAAGTGTGAACTACAGACGTTGTCATATCAAAATCTCGTTCATTTAGTCTACGAGCATTGCTTTTCTTCTCTGCATTATTATACTTGAGTGTGAGACACATCCTCTTCTGGTGTCCAATTTGTGATTCGGTACGCTAGCAAAAACGAATACTAACAATAATTTATACAAGATTCTTCGCTGTCTGTTTTATATAGTCACACCAACAGAAGCAAAAACATCAGAATCGTATTTTGGACTTGTGCTTCGACGGAAATTCTCCTACTATCACAAATACGAGTTACATTACATTCTCAGAACGAATCTTTCAGTTTCGATGTATGATACATTTCCTTGCACATTTGGAGTTATGAAAAACTTTTACCTAATCTTTGTTCCACTCATAATGAAATTCTCTTATGGGCTGTTGACCTCAGGGCTGAACGTACGTTTAACATCGACCCTATCTCACATGTCCTCACCCTCTCAACCAACTTTCAGTGTCAAAACACCTTTCGAAACCATGTTTTATGAAGTTTTGAATATTTTCAAAAAAAATGTAATTTGACCTTTGACCTTTGACCTGCGACAGACATACTCACAAATGAATTTCGATTTTTGGACCACTTTTTTCGACATGACCCTCCTTTCAGTCGAGGGAATAAATTATCATCGATTACAACCGGCACACATTGTGCCATAATAAGGCACATGTATAATTTAATATAATAATATTAGCTGAAATACCACCAAATAGCACAGAAAAATAGAACTTCTTTTTCTCTATCAGACTGTGTAGGAAAGAACTTTTTTGAAGCCTACTATAGAGTAAAAAAGTGTCACTGCCACTATTTTTGGTATGTCCTAAGTATAATAAAATTAGTTGGATGAATTCATCAATACAGAATGCTCAGCTGTGAGTGAAGGATATTGACGCAGTTAGCAATTTTTTTATTTTAAGTTCACTCTGTGTCCAAGCGTGTGAGCCTCTCAGTGGGACTTTGAAATGATGTGTATAAAAAAGAACAAAAAGGAGATCACTCCCTATATACGAACAAGAAAAGAGAATAGAGAGAAAGAATGATATCGAAGATAACATGCTTTCTCGAAAAGCAAACGAAACAGAGGTCTGGAACACTACATGAACAGAAAGAAGAAAAATATGTGCGCACGTGACGTGGTAGAGAGAATCAGTAGCGAGGATGCTCGTTAATAGCTTATAAAGGAGAATAAGAGTTATAGCTTCATAATATAAATAAGTGCATAAAATGGTGGATGTAAATCAATTGTTGATGATGTTGCTGCATGTGTATGAGGTTGATTTTGTCCACTAGTTCTTATTTTATGTGCATGCTTACAAGTAGGATAAAGATCGTGAGTACGATGAGCCAAATATCGACCCTCACTCGTTACAACTACCCTTGTATTTCGTTCGGAGTGGTGATCATAATATTCCTCTTTGTCATCTTCAGGCCCAGTCACACCACCATGATCATGACTCGGCATTTGTGATTCATTTAATGCTGCCCCGTACACCGCAATTAGTGGTACTACACTCGATGGCCCACCAGTGGTATGAGGCTGTGTTTGTGCACCCGAACCTAGATTAGTAAAATAACACAGATTTTATGTTTTCCTTAAGAAACGCTGTTCACCAGAACCAATAACAAATTTATCACGCAAATCTGGAGTACCATTAGTACCGTCGCATATTTCCCAACCGAGAGGAATTGCTTTTTCTGTACCATTCCTTAATCAGAAAGAATCAAAGATAGTACTTTTTACACTCATAAAAATCAAAGAGTTATTTTCTTACCATAGAATGATACCTCCGCTAGGTATGTTGTTTAAAGGTTCGACTGTAAAGTCCACTGGTATATTGATCATACTAATCGTACGAATTACTGCACCATTTGTCTTGTCAGCAGTCAATTGTTTTGAGATAATAGCCACTTGAAGACGATCTGTCAGATCGAGTAATTTATAGACGTGGAATGATTTTGGAATGAATTTTTCGCCTGTCCATTGAAATTCAGTCTGTTGTTGGGAGATTAATCTTTCTACTTCGGCTAAAGAGAAAATATCACGATTTATTTCCATAAGAATATCATAAAAGGAGTTCGAAGAGGACGATGAAGAACCACCTGAGCATCCTATGGTGATTCCAAGGAATGAAGCGCTAACACCACCACTAGCCGAGTTGCTGTTGCTCGATGTTGGTAAATTTTGTTTATTGAAATCGAAATATGTATTTGTATAATTATGTCGTTTAGTTTCAGTTTCATTGTAAGTGAATACTTTACTAAGTTCTGATGTTAATCGATCAGGATTTAAATCGAACGGAAACCATATTTGATCGAATAATGCTGCATCTAGCGAAATTTGTTGTGCAACATTCATACCTATTACAGACAAAGGTATCACTGCATAATACAGTTAGGTCGATACTTCCGAAGTCTAATCGCTTTTAAACAATCCTACATCGTCCATCTGAGGTCAATGACAGAATCTAATGAGTGGATCACCTATAGATGCCGATCTCTTTTTACATGAGAAGAAAGTGATATGGACAATATCCTCCTGGCACAAAACTGAATTTTCGCGAGCGTGAAAGAAAAATCTCACAAACCTACAGCTCTTTCCTGCTAAACGTCGAGAAGAACGATTTTAAAAGTAACAAATTCAGTTAGTTGTGCTCTACGAACGAACGTGCGATCCGCTAGATCAAACAAAATTTCAGCAGATCGATGTTTACCTTGTTGTAGCAATGAAATAAATTGCTCTTCTAGATCATTGATAAGAGACGCTGTAACGGCATTTATATTTTCCATATAAATCATTTTCTTGACATTTGCTATATAGTTTTCAATAAATTTTGATGCTTGATTACGATGAATATATTGTGCGGTTATACTACCCCCATCAACTATTGTTTTGCTCAGTACACTTTTTAACTGATCACTAGTAATTGAAAAGAAATTCGTTGTCATGTGTTTAAACCCAGCAAAATAGAACGCAATTTCAATTTCATAGTCACCATTAGCAACCTTTTTTGCGATAAGCTCAGCAGTTTCTTTTGATGAACATTGAAATCGAAATGTCATTGTAAGACTGTTTGGATGCACTACACGATAGGGATGTACACCGGCTACTGGTGATGCTCTACCACTTACAATAAAAGCTGTTAGAGAGTCAATCATCAATGGAGCCACAGTCCAAGATTTTGAATACTGTGATACATTTGGATCATATTTATCAACAATTGCTTTGCGCGCTAATTCTTGAATCTCTGGGTTGCCTAGCATTAGTGTTAACCGTATTTCAGTGTTAGAAGACCATATCCACCTATCGCCCAAACCATTCTGAGAACGTGCCATAACTGGTACATAATAAAAGATCCATTTTTGTGGTGTTAACTTATTTTCATTTTCATTTGAAATTGCACCATAAATATAGACTTGTGAACCTTTATAGTCAACTATTGTTAATATCTGTGTAATAGCAACGGTTGTAGCAAGACTTGGATCATTACTCGTATAGTTACTTGTGTCATTGATACTGATCACAGGTTCACCATTAATCAAGACGTTCAAGTTTAATAGAAGAAAAAAACAACGTAGAAAAGCATAGTCATGTTCTATAGAAGAAAATACCGTTAATAGATATTTGCACTCCATATATATATACATTAATTACGTGCATTGTCAGAGGTAAAGGCGATTTTTATCTCGTAGTTATTCCTTATCTTGAGGGTGTGGGTGAGGGTGTGGATGAGAGTTGAAAGAAGAGGCATCTACACCTTCACACCCACACCTTATTACTTCCTTAAATCCATCTGATGAACTTCTTAGCAGAAGTCAAATCTAGATAATGGCAGTTTGTCTCACCCATCCTCACCCTCACCCACACTCTCACCCTCGAGGATACGCATCCGTTATATTTACATACATATGCAAGACGGTGAAAAAATTTCAGTGCTCTGCTTTGCGAAAATTGACACTCTTAAGGCGTCTTTTTTGGTAATAAAAGTTGTGTATTATTGATGCTGGTAGTGAGTAAATTATCGAAGATTTTGAAATATGATGATGGACACTTTTTTGGTCTCGAAATCATCTAACTTTCTTCATGCAAAAAACATGCAGAGAAAGAAGCAAAACAACTACTATTTTTTCGGCATTATGAGGGCAGTTTGTTTTTTTCGTTTGATAATGATGCATTTTACTTTCAAAATGATCAAGTGTAAGTAGATAAATTAGATTTTATTAACGTTTTTCTAGAAAACAACATTTTCTGCATTAAGAGTATTAGATATTAGTGGACAAAATTCTCATTTCACGCCAGATATATCTACTCCATCAAAGATACTCAAAGAAAACAGTAGCTGAGAATAAATTGCTGGTTTTACCTTCTGAATCAATCAAGGATGTAGAACTGCTAGTCAAAATTTTCACTTTGAATGTCGTATTTAAATAGTTGAATTCTAGTCACTCCGATAAACTTTGATAGCTGTAATCTGGTCCACACAAATAACGTTCGTCTAGAGATACAAGCAATTTCGAGATAAATTTGGATTCGGATAGATTTTTGTATATTTGAGCTTTTTCAGTGACATGAATTCATTTTCAATAACTATACTCTCACTTGGAACTTGAAAAGGTAATACTAACGTATGAATTACTAGAGGATCTGGCAGATCAAAAGTTCGAAGATGAAACTGTACGAAGAATTGACTCATTCACCTTTGATTTAACGATAAATAAATAAACTCATTTTAGTTTTGTTTGTATAGACCGTTTTAATGTCGCCACATTCTCCCGAGGTCGAATGGATCAGACTACTATTGATTTTGGATTCGCTGTGCAAAGATATAACAAAAAAACCTGATGACTAAGAGCTATTGCATTTTAATTTCAGTGATTATAATTGCAAACAGTTTTATTTCTAGATTGATTTCTAACTGAAATATTTATCTTTTCTATTCGATCTTAGCAAAAATGCATCTCGCGTACAGGTAAAAGTTTCTAAGCATTCTATATATTATTGACAATAGAAACAATTATGAAAATAATGTTTTCTTTGTTTTATAGTTACACATGGCTATTTTGCTTGACCTTTTATGGTTGGTACTGCATAAACTTGACTGGAAGCAGAATAATAATTGAAATAGATTCATCGAGTTCAGAAACAGATTCACGACCACCGAATAGAAGTAAACTTAACTCTTTCATCATTCTATTCATTCTTCAAAGAGAATTTACTCTATAACTAAACTATTCTATTCATTTTTCTTTTAGTGTACTGTAAGGATCAGAAGGAAAATGGAGATGAAACCGACATCGATTGTGGCGGCAGTCGATGTCCCAAATGTAACAACATGATGGCTTGCAAAATCGATGACGACTGTATCAGCGGTGTTTGCAGAGGAAAAAAATGCACTGGAAAGTATTTTACCTCAGTAAAATTTAAATAAATATAAAATTTTGTCATTTCAGCTGAAGAATCGTGTGTAGACTACATGAAGAATCAAGACGAGACTGATGTTGACTGTGGTGGTACCAAGTGTCCAAAGTGTCGCGATACAAAGAATTGCACAGCTTGTTATGACTGCATCAGTGGCATCTGCAGAAATAACATGTGCATTCGTGAGTATTCAATCAATTTGATACTCATACATTACAAGTTTTTCCTTTAGCGAATGATCATTGTTTGAACAAAATTACAGATAATGATGAGACTGATATAGATTGCGGTGGTCTTCAGTGTCCAAAATGTGGCGACATGAAGAATTGTAACGTTTCAGCAGACTGTATCAACGGTTCTTGTATTAATCATAAATGCATTCGTGAGTATCAATTCTACTTAATCTAAAAGCATAAAAACCCCTATAAGTTCAGCTGCCGAGTCATGCACTGATAATGTGAAAAATCAAGATGAAACGGACGTCGATTGTGGTGGTACTATCTGCACAAAGTGTGGTAGTTCAAAGAGTTGTACTCAAGCATCTGATTGTAGCAGTGGCTATTGTGATAGCAATCATGTTTGTTCAAGTGAGTATAGGATCATTAAAAGTCACAAATATCGATGATTAGACATGAAGAAAAACGTATTTTTTTAGTACAAAATGGGTTTAACCGTACGTAAATAGATGAAATGATAATAGCACAAAGACTATAGATATGCGCTCTAGTGAATTGCAGTGTTTGTGAAAGGTTTTTGATTACATACTTGACCTTGTTATACAGCCTAGGATACATTCTATCACTGATTTTTCGATGAATGAACGTTGAACATTTGGTCGCTTGCTTCGTTGCAAGTGAATTAAAGTCGCATAGGACACTGATTCAAATGCAATTTTTCATATATTTGAAACATTAATGTTTGTTGTAATTGTTGTAGATCCGACCGTAGCAACAACTCCAGCAAATCCAGTAATAAAGTTTATTTGAAAGATAGCTGAGTTATTAATACTTTCTTTTGGTAGACGACACCAAGTCCTGCTGTTAGTGTTACTACATCAGTCTCTACAAGTAATTATTATGGCACTGAAAGTATATCATTACGTCCCTCTACTATATTATCGAATGTGATTATTGTTGTTACTGTACAAAAGACTGTGGGTGCTAAATGGACCGGAATGTTTAATAATTTTCCCGGTGGAAGTATGACTGAATCTCATGATGATAATGGTGCACAAGTAACCTATACTTGGCGCAGTACCGGTGGATTATCGATTGGATCTGTTGGTGGCTCATACACAGCCACAGCTCAATTCGATTTAATTGGAACAGCACAACCAACAACTGGTGATACTTATAATGTAACAATCACAACCGATAACGGCCAGACAAGTACACAATTGGGCCATTTTTGATCTTCATTTCTCATTAAAATTTAGTGACTCACCACTCGTTTGTCTTATATTTTTTCTACTAACTGAATTATATACACTTTTTACTTCTTATAACCATTTCATCTGACGATTGTTCGTTTCATTTAACTTTTTTTATTCTAGCATGTTTGTGAGAATTTATTGACATTTTTATATACTGATTTCCTTTTCCGTTACACGCATACAAAACATTTTAATCATTGAAATAGATGTGTGTGTTTTCTATTATGAATTATTTTTCTCTGCAAAGATCTTCAGTTTTGTAACGAATCGAATTCAAAGCATTATTAATTGAAATGTCAAAGTATTTTCTAGAATTAAACACACAAAAGCAAAAATACGACTAAAGGGTACGTAAATAAATAAAAAGCAATTGGATGGTTTATAGTTTGCAACAAATAACAGCGATATTGCCAAGATCAATAGCATATGAATCTCTAGGATATTTTCTATTTTTGAGGCATGCATCATCTAATTACTTTTTTGGCTCCTTGCATTGTCACTCTCACTCAGCCGACATCGCTTTCAAAAGCGGTGTGTAATCTGGCAATGAGAGGTAGAGAAATCGTGTTCTGCTACAAAACTTCAAAACGCATTCTTTTATCATACGTTCCCCTGAACTCTTTTCAAAAACGATGTTAACATTTAATTTGAAAATACGATGGCGATTGCATGAGTATGTTAATAAGGAAGAAAAAGGAAAGGCAAAAAGCTGTCTTACCATCGACTCAATTTCCTCGATCATAGATTTGTTTGCAAATAGAGTGACGCAGTTTAACGATTGTATTATTGGCCGAGCCTAAAAAATTTATATTACGGCAAGGTAACGACATGCTTTGACCATGTTTTCTTTAAGGATTTGATCTAAAAAATCGATACATACTGCAAAAAGTAAATGCAGAATAACAAACCCATAATTTCGTTTATGCATGTTTTTATAGACTTTTACACTGAAAAAAAGATCCGCTTTCATGATGAGGGTATTGTATTATTCGTTTTTAGGTTTATTATTCTACTTTTTCGTCAAAAGGGTATATCAGCATGTTTTTTCTGAGGGAGATTTTATTACCCCTCTGAAAAAAGCTCATTACTCTACGCCTGAGGGTAGATTCTTTTATCTGATTTTCCAAAGGGTTTCTTATTCTACGGTTCGCTATTGATTCATCCGCTTCTTAATCTAAAGATTTAGCACTGTCCTTGAGAAATTATGTTCGATACCTTTCCGTTAGCAAGGGTATTTCATTCATCGCCCAAGAGTTTAGTCAACTTCTTCCTTTGCAAAGGAAGGTTTATTCTTACACTCTTTCGTTCAAAAGGTTTATTATTATGTGTGAAAGGGTTTATTCTTATACGCTTCTATTAGAAAGCTTTATTCATGTACACACAAGATTTGACTCTTTTATCTCTCGATTTCTGGGAATTTATTGTTTGACGCATATGTATTGATTCTCCTACAGTTTTGTAAGAATAGTTTGTCATAAGATAATTGAGTTGATGAAGTGTGAACAGATCCTGGGAAGAAGTCGTTTAGTGGCGTAGATTATTTTTAATAATGATTCCATTATATCTCAGTTTGAGGATTACTCTGTTTATGTATCATTAGGGATGCACGTTTTTTTCAATATTATATGCTAGACCGATGTATTTACTTTTATCATGTATCTTGTTGTGCGTGTTAGATATTCACATATGAGATACAATAGCTAGAGATGATGATGGACTTTCTACCAGATGAATCTTTTTCTAATGTTTTTCTATAAATGAAGTAAAGAATGTATGCGTTATGTGGAAGGAACGAATTGCATAGTCTACGGAATGCGCAATATATTCTTTCATGATTGTTATTCCTTTTTATTTATCTCTCGGTCAATAAATGCTGATGATATGAAAAAATAAAGGCGAATCTATATTAATTCAGTTAATCAATAAAATCTAATGACTATACTCATATCAAACTGTTGCATTGAACACGAAAGCTTAGTATCATTATTTATTTCTCTGTTTTTCAACAGATCGAAATGTCTTTAGCCTTGCTAAAGTGGCTATACACATAACAGTTCATCATAAAACGATACCAATTTTTGAATTACTTGTGATTTACATAACGTATATAGTGTTCTATAACGAATACAATCTGCATATAAATCTCTTATTTCTCGGCAACATCCAAATAAATTTCATGAGATAGAAACACTTAAACAATTTAAATACAATTTATATTGGTACTCAACAGTAAAAGAAAATAGATTTGAATATTGGAAACGTTTTACAAATAATGATGATATGATACATCGAATTCTACTGACAATTAACATTATCAGATGATGATCAGGAAGCGATGTTTTAAAAATTTTCGTTATCATTCAGTTTAGTAGATGGTGCAGAAACCTTGGAATCGATGATGGATATCAAGAGTGTTTGTTTCCTTCATCTTACAATTACGTGAATTTTTTTTGTAGCTATTTAGTAATATCACAGCAATGGCCCAATTCTTCAGACGATATACTATGTTAAGCGAACACTCGCCAATGTGATAGCCTATGATCCAATTGAGAAGTACAATATCGAGTAAGTCATGCCGCGAAACTATTCATATAAGAGCATATTGAAAAAATAGATGTTCATGATACCTCTAATTTTTTTCAATTTATCAGGAATCAATTGTTTTCATCACGATTGGACAGTTTCGAATCAAGAGTGTACAACAGTTCTGTCTATCGGTGATGATGATAGTTCCCCAGTGGCAATCTAGACAATTATGTTTCTTATTTCATTCAATGGGTATTGAAAAACACATTATTTTATTGATAATTCAAGTTGGTCTAATAAGCAAGAGACACGCTTTCCTTAAAGAAAATGTTATTTCTTTCTCAAAGCATATTTTACTTTGAATTTCTACATTCTTTTTCACACCGAATTGAAGTTTTTAATAGAATAAACCATATATTACTAAGCATTTTTAACTGGAGAACATTTTTCAGATTATGATCAAGTTCCATTCTCGATCTAACCATTGAATCTTTTCTTTAAAATTAGCTGTGCAACACAAGCAATTCGATTTCATTAGCAGTGCGATTGTCATATTTTTAAAGGTACTTTTGACGATTAACAATATCGTAAGGACACTCAACATCTATAGATGATTTTACTTTTGTTTATTGTAGAATGTAACCGAAATGTAAAATAACCACTTTTCATTTCAAGTGAGAACACTCATCACGTTTTCTTGTTTCTTATTCTCATCATTTTATGCAATTCAGTGGACATCGACCACGCACTAACATAATAAGTAAATATTTTTTTGTCTTTCTTTTCTCAACCAACAGCTCAATTCGAAAGGCATGGATCTGCAAGAGCATGATAAGTGTTATATTACTATTTGCTTTATCTTCTTGTTCTTTTATAGTTGATTTTCCAATTCGAACAATATCATGCATCAAACTGCCTTCCCATGTCGCCTCTTTTTCTAGGACTGCGTCGCATTTGCGCGCAGTGGCCATTTTGCGGCGCAACTGCGCGTAACTGCGCCGCAGTGGTCGCAATCAGAGTCACATTAAAAAAACTGCGCTTACTGCGACGCATTTGCGATCGCATCTGCGCCACAGCTATCGCAGTCAGTCACATAAATGATACTACGCTTACTGTGTCGCAGTTGTGCGCATCTGCGACGCAGTTACCGCATTTGTCTAACTCATCTATTGGAGAATTTTGAATAACAACCGTTAGTGCTAGCAGTCGAGTATAAAAGGAGATGCAAAAATCATTCAAGCTTATTTTTCAGTT